CACGAAGAATTTGTAGAACCTGCCGCAGGTGATTAGCATGGACTTCTTCCGATCTTGAATACACCAAAATGTCATCTATGAATACTATCACGAGCACATCTAAAAACGGCTTGAAGACCCTATTCATCAAATTCATAAAAACTGCTGGTGCATTCGTTAGCCCGAATGATATGACTAAAAACTCAAATGGCCATACCATGTTCGGAAAGCTGTCTTAGGTATATCTTTTTCTTTGACTCTCACTTGGTGATAACCTGACCTCAGGTCGATTTTTGAAAAACATATAGCACCTTGTAACTGATCAAACAAATCACCAATTCTAGGGAGGGGATATTTGTTCTTAATCGTTACCTTATTCAACTGTCGGTAGTCGATACATATTCTTAACGAGCCATCTTTCTTGCGTACATATAAAACTGGTGGTCCCCATGACATACTAGGCCTTATGAATCCTTTATCTAATAAGTCTTTTAATTTCTCCTTCAACTCCCGTAATTCTGCCAGTGCCATTCCATATGGAGGGATGGATATAGGTTGAGTATCTGGAATCACATCAATACCAAACTCTACTTCTCGTTCTGGAGGCAAACCTGAAAGATCTTCAGGAAATACATCGAGAAATTCATTTACCACTGGAATAGATTGAAGAGATGGTGGCTCAAGTTCTATATTTTTCACTCTCACTAGATGACATATGTATCCTTTGGACATCATCTTCTTTGCCTTAAGATAAGAAATAAATTTACCTCTTGGTGTGCCAATATTACCTTTCCATTCAAGGATGACCTCTTTTGGAAAATGAAAATGCAGCATCTTAGTTCGGCAATCCACCGTGGAATAACAAGAAGCTAACCAATCCATACCCATTATAACATCAAAATCTACCATTTCTAGCTCAACAAGGTCAGCCAATGTATCACGATCACAAACAGTTACAATACAATTACGATAAGCCCTTTTAGCTATAATAGACTCACCAATCGGTGTAGACACTTCAAATGGCTTCACTAATAATTCTGGTGTACTTTTGAACTTTTCAGCAATCAATGGAGTAACATATGATAGTGTACACCCCGAATCAATCAATACATATGCAATATGTGAAAAGATGGACAATGTACCTGTAACCACATCCGGTGAGGTTTCTAAATTTTGTCGATCCCCGAGAGCATATGTGCGATTCTGAACTCCACCAGAACTAGCAGCTCCCCTAGCTCCTCTACCACGACCAGTAGGCATCTGTCCCCTACCTAAAGAAGGTGCTGATGATGAGGATGCAGAAACTGATCTAGTAGGTTTTGCCTCACAACCCACACCCCTATGAGGGCAATTTCTCATCATATGACCTGGTGTACCACACCAAAAGCAAACATTTGTCCCAAACCGACATGCACCTAAATGATTTCTTCCACATTGTTTACAAGATTGTTGAGGAGGTCTTGATTGGCTCATACTTCCCTGCTCTTGGTACTCCGCTGTTCGTGAACCTTGGCTTTCACCTCTTTGCCCAAACTGATTGCCCATAGACTCTTGAAACTTAGGTGGGGCACTAGCTGTAGAGTAGGAAGATGAAACCAAGTATCAATATATGTGTGCATAAATTAGAACAGAAGACCACCTTTGTTAACTCTTGTAGGATCATGTATGTTACATTCTTGTCTTTACCTTTCTGTGTGTTATGATCTTCATAAGGCATGTGATACGAATGACTAGCTGATCAGTGGTAGAAGAGGATGACCCATGCTAGACATTTTAACCCCTAGGATGCGGTCCTCATAATTACACAAATTGGGATCGGCCCATGTTAGGCTTACCCCTTGAGCTGCCACCTTTCTATACCAATTGGGATCGGCTCATGCTAGGCTTTCGCCCCTGAGCTGCCAAGGTTTTTAGTGTTTTCAGTATTTTTAGTTTTTGGGTTTTTAGTGTTTAGATTTTCTTAGGATTTAGGATTTCTTATGGTTTAAGGCTTCTTAGAGTTTCATATGGCTTAGGGTTGGGGTTTTATCCCTAAGGTTTAGGGTTTAGGTTTCTTAGGGTTTGAGTTTAACATTTAAGGTCTCCTAGGTTTTTTGGGTCATTTATAGTGTTAGGGTTTAGGGTTTAGGGTTTTTATAAGGTTTAGGATTTAGGTTTGTTAGGTTTAAGACTTTTTAGAGGTTTTTTAGGTTTAGAGTTTTTAATGTTTTTTTTTTTTTTAGGGTTTAGGATTTCTTAGTGCTTTTTTGGGTTTAGGGTTTGGGGTTTTCTTAGGGTTCAGATTTTGGGTTCATGGTTTTTAAGGGTTTACGATTTAGAGTTTCTTAGGGTTTATGGTTCAAGGTTTAGAGTTTGGGATTTAGGGTTCCTTAGGTTTAGGGGTTTTAAATTATTATTTTTTAGGTTTTTTAGGGTTTAGGTTTTCTTAGTGATTTTTAAGGGTTTAGGTTTTCCTAGTGTTTCATATGGTTTGGGGTTTAGGGTTTAGCCCTATGGTTTAGAGTTAAGGATTTAGTGTTTCTTAGGATATATGATTTAGCGTTTAAGATTTCTTAGGGTTTTGTATTTTTAAGGGTTTTTTGGATTTAGGGTTTTGGGCTTAAGATTTTCTAGGGTTTTATTAGGTTTAGAGGAATTTTTAGGTTTAGGGTTTTAAGGTGTTTAGGATTTTTATGGTTTGTTAACGATTAAGGGGTTCTTAGATCTTATGGATTTTATAGGATTTTTTGGGTTTACGGTTTTTAAAAGTTTAGGGTTTTAATAGTTTTTTTAGGATTTTTTTTCTTCTTAAAGTTTAGGGTTTTAATAGTTTTTTAGGATTTTTTTTAGGTTTATGATTTTTATAATTAGGGTTTTGAAATGTTTTATGGTTTCTTAGGTTTTTTTAAGAATTTGGATTTCTTAAGATTTAGGATTACATAGGATTTAGGGCATAGGATTTTAAGTTTAGGGTTTTTTTTAGGGCTTAGGGTTTTAAAGGGTTTTTTTTTTCGCCCGGGTATTATAGTTTTAGGGGTTTTAATGGATTTTAGGGTTTAGGTTTTCCTAGTGTTTCATATGGTTTGGGGTTTAGGGTTTAGCCCTATGGTTTAGAGTTAATTATTATTTTTTAGGTTTTTTAGGGTTTAGGTTTTCTTAGTGATTTTTATGGTTTAGGTTTCATTGGGTTTAGGGTTTTTTAAAAATAATTTTTAGGGTAATTTTCTTAGTGTTTCTTAGGATTTCTTGGTTTAGGGCATAGGGTTTTAGGTTTAAATTATTATTTTTTGAGTATTTTAGGGTTTCTAAGGGCTTATGATTTCCTAAGTGTTTTTTAGGTTTAGTGTTTTAAAAGGTTTTTAGGGATTTTAAGTGTTTTTTTTAGGATTTCTTTATGGTTAGGGTTAAGGCCAATGGTTTAGGGTTTAGGCCCTAAGGAATAGGGTTTCAGATTTTAGGTCAAGAGTTTTTTAGGGTTTATGGTTTTTTTTAGGTTTATGATTTTTATAATTAGGGTTTTGAAATGTTTTATGGTTTCTTAGGTTTTTTTAAGAATTTGGATTTCTTAAGATTTAGGATTACATAGGATTTAGGGCATAGGATTTTAAGTTTAGGGTTTTTTTTAGGGCTTAGGGTTTTAAAGGGTTTTTTTTTTCGCCCGGGTATTATAGTTTTAGGGGTTTTAATGGATTTTAGGGTTTAGGTTTTCCTAGTGTTTCATATGGTTTGGGGTTTAGGGTTTAGCCCTATGGTTTAGAGTTAAGGATTTAGTGTTTCTTAGGATATATGATTTAGCGTTTAAGATTTCTTAGGGTTTTGTATTTTTAAGGGTTTTTTGGATTTAGGGTTTTGGGCTTAAGATTTTCTAGGGTTTTATTAGGTTTAGAGGAATTTTTAGGTTTAGGGTTTTAGGGGTTTGTTGGTGTTTCATAAGTCTTGGGGTTTAGGGCTTTCCCTAAGGTTTAGGGTTTAGTATTTCTTAGGGTTTAGGGTGTATGATTTAGGGTTTCTTAGGGTTTCATATTTTTTATGTTTAGGCTTTTAAAGTGTTTTTAAGGTGTTGATCTAATATTCTTATGATATACCAACTCAAGGTTAGCTTGGGGTCACTCGTGATCCTAGATCCTGTGTTACGTCAATGGGGGTAACCTCGGGGCGTGACAAAAACTATGTCTGAATAAAAGCCTCTAACTGACTAGTGAAACTGGGACATGCCCCCAGCTCACTCTAGCAAAACTGAAACTAAAATGAAATACTGAGTATAAAACATGTATTGCGTCCTCAAAAAATGAGGACTCACCACTTATATTGCTGAATACGGATCGAGAACCGATCTCCACGTAATTTGAATGATGAGGACCTGAACCTACATCACAAGAAGATGTAGTGTAGAGTATGTGTCAGTACTTGAAAGGTACTGATCATGCATGATAGGATAATGCTGAACAAATATATATAACTGAATAATATTGAACAATGATATAATCTGAACATAATGAATAAGAGTTTAGGTATTTGGTTAAGGGTTTTTAGGTTAGGGTTTAGAGCTTAAGTTATTCTAGGATTTTTTTAGGTTATGAGTTTTTTCGATTTTCGATTTTAAATTTTTTTTCAGGATCATTATTTTTTTAGGGTTTAGGAATTCTATGGGCTTAGGGCTTAGGGCTTTAGATTAAGGATTTTTTTTATGGTTTTTAAGGTTTCATAGGGTTTTTAGTTTTAGTGTTTTTAGTGTATTGTTTTTCTTAGGATTTAGGATTTCTTAGGGTTTAGGGCTTCTTAGAATTTCATAAGGCTTAGGGTTGGGGGTTTATCCCTAAGGTTTAGGGTTTAGGTTTCATAGGGTTTGATTTTAAAATTTAAGATCTCCTAGGTTTTTTTGTGTCACACACCAACCCTAGGTGAGGCGGACAAGTACCATATGAACACATGCTTTACAAGTGACCTATGTTGAGAAAGTAAACTACTATAATAGATTTACTAATGAGAAGCGTCATATACAACATATGTTGACCAGCTGAATCAATAGGTGTGACAAGTGAAACTATGAATACAGATGATAGCTTTACAATGTCTACAAAGCCTCTACTATCCGTGACTGTACCACTATGAAAATGCGCATAGTAAAGACTCGGAAAATCCCCGAATCAACCTGGAGCTCACCAACAACCGCTGAGTATCATGTGCTTCTATTGGGGATATCAACTAGTTGAATACACATCCTGCAGCATGAAATGCAGCGTCCCCAATAAGGGACGTCAGTACAAAATAATATACTGAATATGTAAGGTATAATACAACCATATGTAAAATGAGAGCTCAAGTGAAACCAAATACAAATAGATAAGGATTTGAGACCACCTTTGCTTATACTTGTAGAATCCTGTATGTTACATTCTTTTCTTTACTTTTCTGTGCGTTATAATTTTATAAGACATGATACAATGACCAGCTGATCAGTGTGGTAGAAGAGGATGACCCTAGGCATTTTAACCCCTGGGATGCTGTCCTCATAATTTCGCAAATTGGGATCGGCCCATACTAGGCTTTTGCCCCTGAGCTGCCACCCTTCTATACCAATTGGGATTGGCCCATGCTAGGCTTTCACCCCTGAGCTGCCACCCTTCCCTTTCCCTTTAATCACGTTTATATATTGTACAACCTTTGTATCAGGTCCTCCCAAACTCCCTGCAATATTTAAGTCCTTTAACGTCTCCATAACTTCCCCGCACATCCAGTCACATCCCTTATTATACATACATAAAATAATCCTTAAACATAATAAAGTAACAGAAGCAATATGAATCATGGTTTCTGATCACCAGCACTTGAAGAGCTAATATTAATTTTGAAGTGCTCAAACAAGCTCATAACTGAATTTGAAGGGGACTCCTCTCCATGGCTGTCCCAACATGCACTAATCACCAGGACATCCTCCCCAATATTACACCATTTAAAAGGATCAATTTGTAACTCACTAACACATACCAAATGTCCTAATTAACTTAAGCACAAGAGAGATAAAATTGTAGTAGCTTACCTTGCTGGACAGAACTCCCACTTGCTAAGACTTGGATTCTTCAAGGTAAGGTTGTGCTCCTCAACTTGTCTTAACTTATACCTTCCAATAGCTTGAACTCCATATGATTTTTAAGGGTTTAGGGTTCAAGGTTTAGAGTTTGCGATTTAGGGTTCTTTAGGTTTAGGGGTTTTAAAGTTTTTTTTTTGAGGTTTTTTAAGGTTTGGTTTTTCTTAGTGATTTTTAGGGTTTAGGATTTCTTAGTGATTTTTTAGGGTTTAGGGTTTAGGATCTTAGGTTTTAGGGTATTAGGGTTTATAAGGGTTTAAGGTTTAGAGTTTCTTAGGGTTTCTTCGTTTAGGTTTTAGGGATTCGGATTTTAGGTTAAGTGTTTTTTGGAGTTTCTGGTTTTTTTAGGTTTATGATTTTTATGATTAAGGTTTTTAAATGTTTTAGGGTTTCTTAGTTTTTTTTGAGAATTTGGATTTCTTAAGATATAGGATTACGTAGCCCTAATATATGGCATAGGATTTTAAGTTTAGGGTTTAGAGCTTAAATTTTTCTAAAAAAATTTAGGTCAAGAGTTGTTTTCAATTTAGGATTGATAAAGAATTTTTAGGATCATTATTGATTTTACGATATATGAGTTCTAAGGGCTTAGGACTTAGGGTTTTAGATTAATGAATTTTTTTAGGGTTTTAAAGGTTTGTTTTTTGAAATTTTAGTATTAGTGTTTTAAAGGTTTTTATTGTTTAGCTTTTCTTAGGATTTCTTAGGGTTTAGGGCTTCTTAGAGTTTCATAAGGCTTAGGGTTGGGGGTTTATCCCTAAGGTTTAGGGTTTAAGTTCTTAGGGTTTGAGTTTAACCTTTAAGGTCTCCTAGGTTTTTTTTGGGTCATTTAGGATGTAGGTGCTTAGGGTTTAGTGTTTTAGGTTTAGGGTTTTTCTACGGTTTAGGGTTTAGGTTTGGTAGGTTTAAGATTTTTTAGGTTTAGAGTTTGTAAAGTTTTTTTTGTTGTTTTTTAATGTTTATATTTTCTTAGGATTTAGGATTTCTTCGGGTTTAGGGATTCTTAGAGTTTCATAAGGCTTGGGGGTTGGGGGTTTATCCCTAAGGTTTAGGGTTTAGGTTTCTTAGGGTTTGAGTTGAACAGTTAAGGTCTCCTTAGGTTTTTTTGGGTCATTTAGGGTGTAGGGTTTAGTGTTTTAGATTTAGGGTTTTCTAGAATAGGGTTTAAGTTTGTTAGGTTTAATTATTTTTAGAGGTTTTCTAGGGTTAGAGTTTATAAAAATAAATTTATTGTTTTTAGGGTTTTGGGTTTCTTAGTGCTTTTTGGGTTTAGGGTTTGGGGTTTTCTTAGGGTTAGTGTAGACACGTAATTTTGACCGAACTTGATATTTTACACAAATTTTAGTGGTTAAATATTTCTTTTACGTTTAAATTAAATATTTTGATAAGTTTAGTGTAAAAATATTTGAAAATCACAAAAATAGAGCCAAGTTTTAAGTTAAGTTTTGTTTCCAATTTATTCAAAAAAAAAAAAATAGTTCAAAAAATTTATGTTTTCTTTTAATGTATATTTAATAAATAAATTTAGTGTTTCTTAATTATATTTTTAATTAGCTATTTAACTTTTCTTAAATTTACATTAATTTAAAATAATTAGTTAGTAATTATATTTTATATATACCTACACTTACCCCACCTTAAACCCCCACTTCCCTCCCCCATTTTCTACCACACAACCCATTACATACCCCCACACACACGTACTACACATTCCTATAAACAACAACACCCTCCTATATTAAAACAACACTGACCAACATACAGGAAAAATAAAAAAAAAACGGACAGAAATCAGAAAACACAGAGAGAAAAAAAACAACACTATACTACACGAGCAAGAAGAAAAAGGAAAACACTTCCATTTTATTTATTCTTCTTTCAAACAATAATCATACATTCAC